ACATCAAGCGTATTTTTAATTCTGGGGAGCGGCAACGTCGGGGGCGGTCATCTTCTAAATATCATTTTTGATGTTGACAGTACCCTTTCTGAGTGACCGCATCAAATCGGATTAAAAATTCAATACATCAAGCGTATTTTTAATTCTGGGGGGCGGCAACGGCGGCGGTCGGCGGCGGTCATCTTCTACATATCATTTTTGATGTTGACAGCACCCTTCCTGAGTGATCGCATCAAATCGGATTAAAAATTCAATACATCAGGCGTATTTTTTATACTGGTGGCGGCAATGGATGCGGACGGGGGCGGCAATTATTTGCATGGCTCACATCACTTCTACTAACTGACCGCAACTTTACAAACTGATCGCATTCGATTGAATTGCTTATCCAGCCAAAAACTGCATTCTCAGCAATTTGCTGAACAGCAAAATAGATTTTCCCTTTATTTCGTTTTGACTAGTTTATTTTTGACAAAATAAACGTCTTTATCTATCCTTGCTGTTAAAGTATCATTTAACCTTGCGGTTAAAGTACTACTTTATCTACTATTTTTAATAGATTAAAGGCTACTTGCTACTTCACTAGTAGCTATGGAAAAATAATAATAAATTTAATTCTATAATTACAATTCAATATCCAATCCGTAATATCTTTTTTACACTTATACCTATAATATTGTAAGGATCCAGAAAAATCGAGCACTTAAAATGCAAAAACAGAGTTTTCTGCGATTGACAAGAAATGTCAGCATTTTTGACCAGTTGACAGATCGCAAAACTCAATATTCTGGTATTTCAATTATGTTTCAATAGTTGCTAAGGAATCAATGAATAACAATACGGGAAACACTTTTCCGGCCTAGGCCGGGAAAGTGATTCTCGTATTGCTGAATAATTGGAACTAAAAGACAAACATTTAACAGGTATTTAACCGATCGCAGAAAAAATAGTATGTGTATTTCGGTGGAAAAGCACATTCTCGGCCTTCAATGTTTGCCGGTCTCGGCTACGCCTCCCCTGTCAACTTACACCGTCGGCCGAGAATGTGTCACTTTTCCACCTAAATACACAATATACTATTACTGAAAATTAAGGAACAATCAAATAAAACTCAAATTAAAAGTTATACTATAAAGTAGCTTTCAAAAGGTTTCTGGAAAGAGCACAAAAAATAGTGTTGAGAAGTAGTTAAAACGGTTGGGTGAAACAAAACTTAGAATTGTTCAAATCAAGTAAATAAAATAGACAATTTCAAAGTTCTCAAATAATAACTGGAAAATTTAAATTCAATCAAATAATCTAATTTTAATTAAATCCCCAATATTTAAAGAGAAGTTCTGAAGTAGCAATAATTTAAAAATAATTGAAATAAACTTCTTGCACTCAATCGAAATTAGGTATATAATTTATCTGTAACAAAAGTGTATTTTATATACTACATAACAGTATGGTTGCTTAATCTTTTTTTAAATCTTGAAGGCAGAAATTAAAAGAAAAAAAGCAGATTATTTGAATTCTGCGCCATATTTTTGCACCAAAAATCACTGTTTGCCAAATTTCCATGTTCCAAACGAATCTTTTTTTTTTCTTTTTTAACACATCGAATAAAAAAGGAGAAATATAAATATCAGAATCGCTTTGTGAATCGACTTTGGTACAGCCCTATTTTTGGCATGAAAAATAAAACGAGACATGAAGTTTCCACAATTTTGTTTTCTTGTCTAAATACGAATTATTATAGACAAAGAAAGTACTAAATCCGGCACAGTATAAAGTACGAAAATGATGATAGTATATTGTTGTATTAGGAGTAGAAGCTTCACTTTTTTGTGCTGAAGCATTAGGTTTGCGAGCCGAACGTAGTGAGGCTTGCAATACTGCTGAAGCACAAAAAAGTGCTTCTACCCCGTATGCAACACGCTATTTGTTCTCCAAACTAATGGGGTAAGCTCGGGGGCAAGTGAATGGTTGAGCGGCAGTAAAAGTACGAGCGGCACTAAAAGTACTTTTGCTGCCGCTGGGGTTGCCAAGCAGCATAGAAATTAAACTTCTACCACCTCGTCAGGTGTTAACCCGCTGGATTTGCCTGGCAGCATAGAAATCAAATTTCTGACATCTTGACAGGGGTTAACAAAGTGACGTTTTTTTGACGTTTGGAGAAAAAAGGGATTTTTATTTGTCATGATGATTTTTGTTTACTATAAGGTCAGTGACCTCTGGCCAATTTACCAAACAAAATAATCAATAATTAGCAACAAAATACAGTCCCTGACACTGGGGGATTATTCAAAATAAACCAATAAACGGTTCCTAAAGGTAATCCGGAGTAAACTTTGTCCGGAGTCACCCTGTGTGTAATTTGAAGAAAATGGAAAAAGGATCGATGTTTTTGCCTGTGAAAATGAAAAAAGCTAGGCCGGTGTTACCGTTACCCAACTCCTTTAATTCTTAATTTCTAATTCTTATTTCTTACTTATAGTGCTTAATTCATAACAAGTTAACAGCGTTTTATTTAATGATGGCGTTATCGGTTTATCCAATTCCTATACCACAATTTTTTCGGTGCCAAAATACCTGGAAAAAACGGCTTCATTTTCCAACTCTATGTTACTACTCCTATACTCCTTTATCTTCACCTGCTCTAAGGGCTTCATTCATAGTCTTGTTGTGATTTTGTGTTGGTTGAAAACAAAACAATATTGGAATAAAAACCCCTATATTCTATTAAAATAAAAAATCCATGAATACTGAAGATCAATGTAGTCTTATATATTTGGTGGCCGAGAAAAAATTGAGTAACTGGGTAACAGGACCAAATCGATAGCTAATATTCTACGAAATAAGAATAGAAATTAAGAATTAAGAAGTTGGGTAACACCGGCCTTAGTTTTAGGGAATAGGTACAGACACATAAAAATTATACTCCGTGTCTTCTGCCTGTTTTGGAGTTTTGGATGTTTTTCATAGGGATCAGAATTTGAACTTCAAATCGAAATTTAGAGCCTTCCAAGTTCGAAAAAAATCGGAAAAAAATACAGTTGAGTTTAATTTTGACTCCTCTTTCCAATAAACAAATAAAAAAAAATTCATGCAAGAAACCTATTGAAGTTTTCACTTCTGAAATGTGGTCTAAAGCACACACCATTTTTCACAAATTTTGTTGAGATAGCATGTTTCTTGTTTGTAGTTTTTTATTAGAATAAGATTTTTTTTTAAATTTTTGTAACTGCTTCTTCAATGAAACGTCCTATGAAAAAAAAAATTTCCGCGATTGACAAGAAATGTCAGCATTTTTGTCCGGTTGACAGGTCGCAAAACTCAATATTCTGGTATTTCAATTATGTTTCAAAAGTTGCTAAGGAATCAATGAATAACAATACGGAAAACATTTTTCCGGTCTAGGCCGGGAAAGTGATTCTCGTATGGCTGAATAATTGGAACTAAAAGACAAACATTTAACAGGTATTTAACCGATCGCAGAAAGAATAGTATGTATATTTCGGTGGAAAAGCATATTCTCGGCCTTCGGTGTTTGCCGGTCTCGGCTACGCCTCGCCCGTCAACTTACACCGTTGGCCGAGAATGTGTCACTTTTCCACCTAAATACACAATATCGTATTTTTATTATTTACAATAAATAATGTCATGCTAGTATGAGTAATTGTGTAATTTTCAGCTAATATTTATTTTACATAATATTATTCAAAATAAATTATGCAAGAAGTCTTGCTTCTTGAAAATTTCTTGCACAATAAATCTTGTTCTTGCTCATTAGTTTCTTGTCTTGTATATTTCTTGCTAATCTACTTCTTGTCTTGTTCTTGCATGCAAGAACAAGACAAGAACAAGAAAAAGCGAGACAAGAACAAGAAATACCTGCAACACTATTTTTGAAGCAGAATTCAGTGACGTTCTCAATTTTTTTCTGGTTGGCCCCAACTTCGAAATATTGACCAAAGTCCGGTTTTTTTCAATGGGACACCCTATATTAATAGCTTATTGAAAAACTCTGCTTTTGGTGATTTCAATGATATAAAGTTCGATAGGTTTATCTCGATCAGCAGGGATGGACTGGGCTCTGAACTTACGGCGGGCGATTTCCTACAAGGGGCGCCATCACCAAGAAAAAGTTGAAGTAGATATAGGGTCACTTGAGCCTTGGAACTTTTTCGATAGCGTGGGAAAATTGGCGGATTTTGCTGGTTTTGTACTGGTTTTATGCTGGTTTAGCTAGTTGTGTGCTAGTTTTCACTGGTTTTGTGCTGATTTTCATTGCTTTCCACTGGTTTTATGTTGGTTTAGCTGGTTTTGTAAAACTCAGCACAAAACCGGCTATACCAGCAAACAACAGTGAAAACCAGCAATAAAACAGCTAAACCAGCGTAAAACCAGTGAAAACCAGCACAAAACCATCAAAATCCGCCGATTTTCTCAGGGTATCGAAAAAAGTTCCCAGGCACAAGTGACCCTTTACCTACTAATTGAAAGTTAGGCTAATTACGTTATCGACAAGAATGAATTACCACACTGTTGTTTCCCAAGAAAAAATCAATATTTTATTGAGGTTAACGCTAGTTTTAGCTACATTATTGATAATTTCGTTATTGTCTGATGACATGAGTAAATTTTTTTACCACTTTCAGGTTGTTGTGATTTAGGTTAGGTACTTCGTGATTTATTTAAATATACTTCAGCTTCTTGAGCTCCAATTACAACAAATTTGCGCAACTAATAGTCGACAAATATTTGCAAGCTTTCGAAAGTATTAGATAAGCATATGCGTGAAGGTTGACACGGTCAAAGTATACGTGGTTCAAGTACCTTGGACGCTGCGCGCGCCTCACTCTGACGATACTTTGATGGTACCAACTGTTCATCCAAGTGAGTAAGCTTGCTTCCAACTTGATCCAAGTTCTCATCTAAGTGCACTTTAACCAAGCACTTGGACCGTGTCAAACTGGTTCTAAGATTGAATTTGATTGATAGTCTGTAACTGCAATAAATACAGTTTTTGCGAGACTTGCAAACTGTTGCACTAGTAATCTATTCTGTAGTATATTGGATAACTGCTCTTAGCATTTCATAGTTTTTATATTGTCATGTCAGGTTTTTGTCATTATTTTTATCAAGGTATATTTTTATTATATTCTATTTCTTTTGTTATCTTCACTAGTTACTAGCCATGGTTACTGGTTGTTAGAAAATAAACTTGGATAATTTTCCTATGATTATTCCAGAAAATCCTCTTTGTTTGAATTCCCAGTTATCACATTTTTGGCGACGAGAGAAAAAAATATTATTGGATTATCCTTGCCTTTTCAAGATGCCGAACGACGCTTACAATGATGCTGAGGTTACGGGCACGGCGAATGTTACTGTGGTAAATATGGGCAATATTTCTAATTTGGCTATTTTCAAGATTGGGGATGATTGGGAAATTTTTAGCGAAAGGCTAGACCAGTTTTTTTTAGCCAACCGTGTTGAAGATGGCAGAAGAGTTTCAGTACTTTTAACTTCTATAACTGAAGAAGTTTATATTATTTTGCGAAACATTTGTCATCCGGAAAAACCCAGTTCCAAATCTTTTCTGGAATTAATTGATTTGTTGTCAGGCCAGTTTAAACCAAAAGTATCTGTTTACCGAAAAAGAATTGTTTTCGATTTATTGAGGCAGAAAGATGAGTCGATTAATGAATGGTTTGTTCGAGTAAAAAAAGCAGCTTCCGAATGTGAATATGGAAATTTGCTCGAGTCCAGGGTTTTAGATAAATTTGTAGTTGGATTAAAACCAGGACCTATTTTAGACCGTCTTTGTGAAGAGAAAATAACAAGATCTTTGAAGGACATGGTGGAGATAGCTTTAGTAAAAGAGTCAGCCCTTAAGGACACAAGACAGCCTTTGTCAAATGTTTTTCATCTTCATGGACATGGTAACCAGAAGAAATTTGGTGAGGCGAAAGGAAATTTTAAAGGTGGAAAACCTAAAGAAAAGAAGCAGGTGAATGAACAAGACAAGTTGAGAGATAAGAAATTTTTGTGCTACAGCCAAAAATAATAGTTTAATATCTGATAAGTATTGTATTTCCTCTTCTGTGACAAATTTACCTAACTGTGACTCAAAACCCGAAAATGACATTTTTGAACCAGTGATTGAACCCATTTCTAGTGAAGTGTTTAGTCCTAGAAAAATAATGACTGAAACTAAAGAAGCAAAGTGTTTATTAAAAGAAAATAGTAAGGTTGCTAGTTTGAATGTTAATGAGCGTCCCAAAAGAATTATTAAAGCACCTCAACGTTTAAATTTATAGGTAGGGTAGATTGTAGTATATTGGATAACTGCTCTTAGCATTTCATAGTTTTTATATTGCCATGTCAGGTTTTTGTGATTATTTTTATCAAGGTATATTTTTATTATATTCTATTTCTTTTGTTATCTTCACTAGTTACTAGCCATGGTTACTGGTTGTTAGAAAATAAACTTGGATAATTTTCCTATGATTATTCCAGAAAATCCTCTTTGTTTGAATTCCCAGTTATCACATATTCTAATCTTCACTGGAAGGAATACACGAGAAAAGCTCAAGGCTCAAGCAAAATGGTGCTTGTCGGGTGGAAGGCTCTCGGCACAAGAATAGCGTGACGGTTGGAATACAAACCTAACATAATTTACAGAGACGCCCTCTATCGGGCACGGTAAAAGTCTCAGAATTTAATATAAAACTTTAATAGAAATTGTGAATTTTCATCAATATGAGAGCACTACATTAATAAGTAATCGATATTCCGAATTTATTGAAAAATATTTTTAAACCTTATTTTGATATTATATAAATTTTATAACTGAACGATGCCGATGGGGCGCTAAATCTTAAGGGCGCGGCGGGCTCCGCCCGCCAGCCCATCGGGCCAGTCCGTCACTGTCGATCAGTTTTTGAGAAAAAAAATACTTTGGTTTTTGTCATAAGAAACAATGTGTTAGAAAGAGACCTTTTTCATTTTCCTTACAGATATAAAGTCCTCTTCTAACACATTGCTTCTTATGAGAAAACCCGAAATAATTTTCTTTCTCGAAAACGGTTAGAGATAAACCTATCGAACTTTATCTCAATAAAATCAGAAAAATCATAGCTTTTCAATGAGCTATTAATATAAAGGGTGTCCTATTGAAAAAAATCAGACTTTGGTCAATATTACAAAATCGGCGCCAAATAGAAAAAAATTGAGAACGTCACTGAATTCTGCTTAAAAAAGTGCTTCCAGAAAGTTTTTACGGAAATCAATTATTTTCATAAACAAAAAAGTTATGAAGTGTTAACGAAAAAGGGGGGTTCGTAGGTTGTTGGGGCCTTTTTCGGTTGTTTCAGCGACGACAAAAATAAAACGCCAATGTTAATGTTTGTAGCAATTTTCGACGTCCACCTTAACAAATTCAGTTTGTAGCCTCAGGGCTGCTTTTTAGGGTCGCAAAGGCGATGGTTGGAGTCTTGAGTTCTGGAGCCAGTTTCAGGTTGGGTTGAGTTTCTTGAGCAGTGCCCTTGACCGACTCACTTTTCTTGCAGAGCTCACTGGCGGCTGGCTGTTGCCTCTGTCTCTCTCTTGTTCGGTGGCCGTGTTCGGAGCGTGTTCCGTGGACACGGACAGGGTCGGATTAAGGTCTTTTGGGGCCCAGGGCTATTTTCACAAAACTGGCCCCTAGGTCCCTGAAATAAATTCAAACGTCACTCAAAACTTTACCTTGCAGGTTAAAAGAATGTAAATTTTCTATTTACTTACAGAACAAACAATACAATACCGGAAAGGTGGTAATCAAATAAATGGTATATTGCTTTATTAGGAGTCAAAGTGATACTTTTTGTGGCGAGACTAAATGTTTGACAATCAAATCTGAAAAGTCTATTGTTCTCATTAATTCGATTTCGATTGACAATAGGGAAAGTGACGATTATCTATTATCCCCAATTGCAGAACGATATTTGTTTCTAATATAAGCTAGAGTACTAAAAGACCGTTCACCCTCGCAATTTGTGATAGGTATGAATAAATATATTCTCAAATTAATGTTAACGTTTGGAAAAACCTGGAGAAGGTCTTTTTCTTCCATCTGCCTCAAAAAAGAATGAACTTTCAAGCCATCATCTTTCAAGTCCCGAATATAAGCACAAAACTGCATCAATTCAGCTGGAAAGTTGTCGGACATGTCACTTTTATGTATTTCTATTATTCTTGAAAAACTTGCCTTAAGTTCATGCTCCGAAATATTCGGTATTTTTGTTAAAACCCAAATATATTACTAACATATTCATACGCTTCAGAACGTTTACTCAATTCTTGGGAAAGTTTGTCCAGACTGACATTAAATGTTTCCGCTCTAAATTTGTTTTTTTTTTTTTTTTTTTTTAATCAATTTATTTCAGACCTCAAATCAGTTAGTTTGGACTTCGTAACAAAAGTTCATCCTTACCATCTGGATATTTTCGCATTAAAACTCGCTTCTCCTCGTCAATATATTTTGAAGAAACGTATATAGAAAGTTTTTTTGCTTTTTGCTCAATATTATTAAATTCTGTCTCTGTGTGCAGTGAGTTTACAAATTCTTCATGATTTCATCCCCGTGTGAAATGGTGTTTTGGGGCCCTCCTCATTTCGGGGCCCGGGGCCCCCAAAGCCCCCCCCTTAATCCGGCCCTGGACACGGAGTGTGTTCCGTTAACAAAACGTCAATAAAACGTTGAAGGTACATCACATGTAAGTGTTTTTTGGTTCACATTTAAAAAACATCGCATAAAAGCCTGGCAATGTTTTGTGCTAGCTGGGTTATTACTAACTCAACAACTAGACTTTTTACAACTCGCAACAATAATCATTATTTAACTCGTATCACAGTCAAACTTTAACTTAAACTACAAAGCAATAGCGGCCTTTATATATCCCTAAATCTATTCCTGTAAAATCTAGAATACACACGTTAATCTTATTTTCCCGATTAAAGTAGAATAATTCGCTAGATTCTAGGATATTCGACAGCAGATGCTTACCATTCTTGACAGCCTGGCGAACGCCGTTATTCTGGCGGCAGCGTTATCGTAACATTATTGTAGTGTACTTTAGATCAGTTTTTTTTTCTTTTGTGTTGTAATATATTTGGATTTTATTATTACTCTGTAAGTAAATAATTAAAAAAAAACGAGACTTACTCTCGCATTCTTTCGAGAAAAAATATTGGCCTCGGTCTTTCGGGTCTTATCAATCCCGAACGCGAACGTCAAATCTCGGTCTTGGTCTCGAGGAGCGGGCTCGGTCTCATTCCCGCGATGCCCTAGCTGATCCTCCACTGCGTTCTCGTTTCCAGACAAAACTACATACTAGGTCAGATTCTTGTTACAATACTGTAGCGAAAAGCTGGCGGAAGCGCCAGGGTGTACAGAATTGGACAGCTGATTCCAGATTCCAGATTTGACGTTGATGTTCGGGAACAAGGTCGATCGCGGTTAGTCCGGATTTTACAAGAATAGATTAGGGATATATAAAGGCCGGTAGGTATTAGTTTGTAGTTTTTAAGTTTAAGTTTGACTGTTAACTGTTATACGATTAAGATAGTGAATATTGTTAAGAGTTGTAGAGAGTTGAGTTGTTTAAGTTATTTAATGAAGTAATTAGTGTCAGAGTGTATAGTAACGTGAAATAAATTATTGCTGTGTTAATTGGACTTTGATTTTTGGATTAAGCGAACCCAAGATTTGTCACGCAAGCCAGAGTCGTGACAATACGTTTTATTTTTATGTCGAAGATATTTTGCATTTTCCCGCTTTTTAAGCAATTTCTCTGATCCAGTAAGACATGATTTATATGCCATATTCAAAAGACAAACGTTTTATTCTAGACTTGGAACTATTTCAAATAGGACTTATGGATTTGTCGGGCGTTTGAATGTATTGATTTCAACATGAAGCCCAAGTAAAATAGGATTGACCTTCTTGAGATTCTCAAAATGGATATTGTGGTCCGTGGATTCACAAACCACACATTTCGTACGTTCAATACTACTGCTCTCATACTCATACTGATCAACTTGCTTTCATTTATTGATATTAATTAGTTCAATTGGATCATGATACTTCTGGCTTATCAATTGTAATTTTCTGCCGTACCTACCTATATTTCATATTAGGTAAAGAGATTAATAAGACATTAGTATTGGGTAACAGATGATAATATGATGCCAATCACCAGCCAGGAACTATAGAAATAGTCACTCAAATTATATTTGAACTTATCTTATTTTTATTTATAATAATTGTTAAGAAGTTATACCTATATTTAAATATATTTAAGTTTGTTATCTTTTAAAATCAAATTTATATTAAAATATTGTTGATGACTTTCGACAAGCTACTGCGTAGCTTAGAAAGCTGTATCATATGTGTGATATTGTATTGTTTGTTGTTAATAATAAATTGAATTGAATTGAATTTTTATGAACTGTTTGTGCGAAAATGTTTAACATACACAAGATAAAATGCGTGTGAGCGAAGTGGCTATTATTTGGGCTCAGTCACAAAGAGCACCCCTCAACACCTTTTCCTGTAATTTGAGAGCCAAAACTCCAAGCTTGAAGTTGTATTTGTTGGATAAACTGATATTCATATCAGTGAAACAAAAATTAATAAATTAAACTTTGATTATTAGCCTATACTTTGCTAATTTATATCGCAGCTATGGATGACTGAATGTGTTTATAATAATTTTTATATGTAAGGTAAACAGACGAGGAATCGTTTACTTAAGAAAGAGTTTGTAATTCTTTGTCTTGATGTTGAGTCAGTTCGTATACTAGTTATATTAACCAATTGCCATGCTGATTTATAATCAATTATCTATTTTTTATATGCTTTA